CAACAATAAAAAACTCCTAAGATTGCAAAAATGAGATAGTAATACCAATAGCCATTAGCAACTCCATCTATATAACTGAACATGAACATTAAGTTTATGGCAACCACCACGGTGCCAACCACAAAAACGAAACATTTTTCCACTCTAAAATTCTTATTTTAATTAGTGGATTTATATAAACAAGCACTGTTATTAATATTGTTTTTAAAAGATATAATATTATCCTTACTTCAGAGATTACTAAACTATTGGTGTTCTAAGCCAGACAAATTTTATCATTTTTATCACTAATCCTTTTGAACAAATGGCTCGTCAAAAAAAAGAATGAGAAAAGAAAGCAATAATTGTGTCATTTTTCTTTCTTCGACTTTTTGTACTTTTAAAATTTCTTCTAAAAGATAACAATGCTTAGACGATAGATTGTTGTTGTAAAAGTAAATGCGAGGCTACTGTAAAGTGTAGTTTTTTGACAGTGGTGCTGTTATCTAGAGAAACTTTACGTTTTTAAAAAACCAAAAAAATCATGTAACAGTTGTCAGCAGCAAGCTTAGACTGATACAAGCGCTGAAGTAATAGCACTCTTGGAACATTTTGTAGGTTTGAAGTGATACTCTACAGAGTAGAAGTCGAATCGGTGGAACTTATTCGGCAAAAAATCCAAAAATTTCGCTGTTTTTTTTTTTTTCAGAATTACCAATACAGCAAAAATCTCGATTACCAGAAATTGGTTTAGTTGAATTTTTCACCTTTTTTTGATTCACTGTCTGCGATAGATCATTTATTTTGTTTACTTTTGGCGTCAAAATTTCTTGATTTTGATACTGATCGTTTTAAGACAATAATGAAAGAACTAGAATTTATGACACAGGTGGTCAGCTTTTGATAAAGTGATAAGGCAACTTTAATGATTGTCTTAGACTTGCCATTGACTGTTAATTAACCACTGTTATATCGTCTAAATTTTTAGGCTTTCGCTTGAAGTACAAATTTTACTTGCAGTCTAGCAAGGTCTGAACAAATAGACAGTTTTTATAATATAAATGGATGATGTTTTACATTTTTTGTTTTGTAATATGGAATACCTACGTTTCTCCAGCTTTATTTTTTTGGATCGAAAAACGTTGCTTGGTCAAGTGCAAGTATTTTTGTCGGAACCTTTGACAGTTTTTTGGCATCTGTTTTTTGCAAAATTTTGGCCAATGTAATTATTATTCTTAAGCAATTCGTAAAAATTTAACGCTTTACTGTTATTTTTATAGTTTTCCGACAAATCATATTTTCTACAAAATGTGACCTAAGAAAACTTTAACCTACTCATTTGTTTTTTGTTGAATGTTCACTAATCACCAGCTAGTTTTTTTCCTGTTAGTGTAGCAGTAATATTTACAGTTTTATTCTATAAAAAATTTTTGTTTCGAAAAGCATTAAAAAACAAAATTTTATAAGCCAACAAATTGTTGATAAAACATTCGACTGTTTTAATATAAAAATTGTGCTACAGTTAAGTAAACTTAAAAGAGAAAAAATTGTTTGAATAAAAAGGTGTAAGAAATGAAACACTTTCGGTGAACCTATTCAAGTGTTTCTGGTTTAGACATCTAGTATTTGCTTTTTTTTTTTTTT